GATTGATACTTCTCATTTCATGGTTGGGGAGCAGGAAATGACTGTTGACACATCTTATCAAAACCATCTTAAAAGTAGGAGAAAAGAGTACAAGGGTAGTTAAAAAGTTACCCTTATCAAGTCTTGGATGGCTCAGGGAGACTTAGAATAGGATATATAGTCACTTGTGTTGGCCTGGAGGCAGCCAGTGGTCAGGGATTATTTTTACCCGAAATGTGTTTTGTGAGTTGTCATTATTTATACCTGTAGCTCATGCTGTCCACTAGGGATCAAGGCAGAAAGCTTTTGTGAGCGGCACTGCTGCAAAGAACATGGCTGTAAAATATAATTTATAACAAGAATTTCTAAAATGTGCGGCCTGTAGACCACCAGTGCGCTTGGCAGTGCTCCCCGAACATTAACAGTAATGAACACTGATTCAAAGTCCATTTCTTTCTGCCCCAGGGTTCAGCTTCTCAGAGATAAATAGTAGTGCCTGGACTGATAGACACTGCCACAAGAAAGAGTTATGTTCTAATATTTACTATATTGAAATTGAAACAGCACCATGCTTGGTGTGGAGAAGGTCCCAGGACCAATCCTTGGCATCTGCACTTAAAAGGATCTCAGGTAACAGATGCTGGGAAAGACCTTCCTCTGCCTGAGATGCTAGAGAGCCGCTGCCAGTTAGAGTAGCTAAGACTAAGCTAGATGGACCAGTGGCCAGACTCAGTATAAAGCAGCTTCATATGTTGCTTGGAAGAGAGTCCCATTGAACTCAGTGCAAATCACCTCTGAGTAAACATTGTTAGGCCTAGACTGCAAGAGGTGCATGACACAACAGTGACGTGAGTCCTTGTGGCCTGCAGAAAGACTTTGCATCACACTTGGACCAGGAGTTCCATACCTCCCAGGTGCATGGGGGGGGCCCCGTACTCCTATTGTGACTGCAGCATGCATGGACTTAAGGGGGCTTCAGCTCCCACTCCATACTGTTTCTGCGAACTGAAACAGGCCCAGTGAGCTGATCTTTCCTTGGTCAGGAAACTTACTATAGCCATCATTATACATAAGTTTCCCAGCAGCTCCCAGGCATGTCTGCAAAAATGGCACGGGGTGGGGGGAGAAGGGTGAAGCTCCTTCTCCACACATATCATTATCAGAATATGTCCCCCATGTCCTGGGTGGAGGGCACGCAATTCCCAGTGCATGTGTGATATAAAGTCCGTGTTGGCCACGAGGTCTTTGTGTCATGTCAGTCAGCTCCTGGGATGTCAATCAAGTTGCTTCTGACTTATGGTGACCCAATGAATTAATGACCACCAAAATGTCCTATCGTTAATTCAGGTCTTGCAAACAAATGGCCATGGCTTCCTTTATTGAGTCAATCCATCTCATAGCTCCCTGTATTCCCAGTCACTATCCAGCATACCTCTAGTCCTGAGGGTCCTCAGCTCTTCTTTAAACTAAGAAGACAAGACAGTAAACAGATGTGAATTCATATTGCCTTTATCCTAGTATATCCTGTATTTCCTTCCCTGTACTGGTGGTGGCCTTGCAGTCTGCGAAGCTCGTTGTGCAGGAGAGCAAGGATTCCAGGGGAGCACCAGTTCTATCATAAGAGAAGTGCAAATACCTTTTAATTAGAACCATACAAAAAGCGCACAAAAATTGTTGACATCCCATGTCGATATCCATGTGTAGAACATGCATTATGTTGCGTGAACAGTGAGGGGCACACGCATGGATTCATTGCTCCTTAATTCTACAGTATTTCCAAGTCGGCAATTGAACCGGTCCCAATCCTTTCGCATTTCTTGGCTGGGGCTATGGAAGCAAAGGAAAGATCCTGATGCAGAATACCTCAGTGTCCTGCACTGGTTGATCACCAGCTAATCAAGATCAGTTCCCCTGGAGAAAATGGCTCTGCAGGGTAGACTCTATGACATTATACCCTGCTGGGGGCCCTCCCCTCCCCAAACGCCACCCCCCCCAGGCTCCACCCCCCAAAATCTCCAGGTATTTTTCAACCCAGAGCTGACAAACCATAACTGGGTAGTCGGCTGCCGTGTGAGAGGTGTCCAGGCTACATAAGTCAAGGCAGCAGCAACAGATGAATGAGTTGGCTGGAGCCCTGGAAGCAGTAGCTGGCTGCCGAGAAACCAGTGTCTTGAAGGGGGGTTGAGGCTCCAAGCAGACTTGCTTGAGGCAATTGAATTATATTAACCTGGATTTCAGATGGAAGGCAGCAGGGGGGAGCAAGGCCTAATGCCACACCAGTGGCACACTCAGACCACACCTCCTTAAGACCGCTTGCTCCATCTAGTGGTGTAGCATGAGAATCAGGTCTGTTTTGGTAAAAAATATAAACCTGAAAGGAACACATGTACGGTGTATGTGTGTCTGTATGTGAAATATGCATCGGTGTACGGAAGTACTGTGGAGACAGTTTTTAAAACAAGTGCACAATCTATTTGCAAAACAGGTGCTGCCATGCTTGACTCTGCAGATGTCAGTGATACTGCCAAATTAGGCAGGTGCTTGGCAGACAATGAGATCTGCTTCTTCTTGGTGTTAACATCCAACCACCCACAATGCCCTTTCGCCCTACAGAGAATGTTTATTCCCTATTATCATAATATGATAGATTTTTTTCCATGCCTTAAATAGCATTAACTAGGTTGTCAAGGAAACTGCTGCCAGAATACCCAGTCAATTTAATGTGAATTTATTTCAGGGAGCAGGCTAGAATTAGTGGGGTGTGTGGGGGTAGTTTTATCACTTAGGTTGTTCTGTCTAAAATAGTAGATATGCGATGTTCTTCAAAATGATGCTAGCATTTCTTCTCATAATACAGTAATCTCCCATTCCCTCCTCTGGTGACAAGCAGAACAGAGAAGGTTTAAGAACTCAGGCTGTTCCATGCCTAGTGTTAGTTCAGGCCCCCAGACTTATGAAGGCTACCAAGATGGATACCAGCAAGCTCAGAGCAAATTCAAGTACCTTTATTCAGGACCTTTGGCGTTACAAGGGTCCAGTACAGTACAGTACAAGGAGTGTGTGACTCTCTGACAGAATGCTGAGAAGATGAATTTTGAACCTGGACAACAGAACAGAGAATGG